ATCCCGAAATTCTGTCACTGCACTTTTTGCCGTCTTACTTCCCATTTCTTGTTCTAATACATTTGTCCCCTTTTCTTGAACACTCTTAATACATACAAGATATCTTTGTAATGTACATAGTATTTGTATAATAAGTTCTTGGTGTAACGAGGGCGGCGTCTAATACTCGATTGAGTGTACAAGTTGAACCATCACGTGATGTTGCGGTGAACTTCAACTTACGCGCAACGGCCGGTTTGGGTGATCTTCCGCTCTAACATGAGTGCAGGAGGAATACGGGATGGCCATGTGGTGGTGTGTGTGAATTATGCTGGGAGGAATTGGGGGGGAGGGCCGGAATTTCTTTTTTTTTTGAAAAAAAAACAAACAAAACAAAAAAATAACAATGTGGAAACATATTGATTGAACAAAAGACGAGTGTGATGGTTTTGGGATGCCAAAATCGATTTATTGATGCGGAAACAATGGTAGATGTGAAAGGGAGACCAAAAGTAAAATGAAATAGAAACATAAGAATGAGGAAAACATATTAAAGAGTTGTGACATGTGGAAGACATACCTGGAGCTGTAATTGATGGTGTATCAAAGCAACGGAAGGTGCGCTGGTGGAGATGACACCAGATTTGATAGAAGCGGCCTGTCTGGCTAATAATAACTACACGAGAAACATATTTGATGGGAAGAACCACACGGAAATATATATAGGAGGCGGAACCACACGGAATTACATTTGATTGCTTTTATTGTATGGATTAAACAATTTCTGGGCAGAAATGCCCATTTTTTTTTCTGGTTCCCCCACGGAATGGAACCCAGACTTTTGGAAATACTGGGTAAGACCAGTCTCTGAGTCACAGGCAAGGTGGGATTAATCCACAGGAGTTTGGTCAATTCTTACAGCCTGGGCTGACTACATCTACTGTAGATTTGATAAGTGTCAGCCTCATCAAGTCCACAAGTATTAGTTACCTTACCCCACTAATACTGAGCCCCCCGACCATACAAACAGACCATAGTTGATGGTGCCTGCTGATGAGCCCATGGATCAGTTGACCCCATCAAAGGTGGACCGGCCATCAAGACTCTCTTAGGACTGGTACTGTGCATCGGCTGAGAAGTGTACCCCATGAATTGACATAGCTAAAAATGCCTTGGATCCTGGGTCAACCGATCTCTTCATGGATTGGGCTCAACATGTGTCATGGGTCAGCTGAAGAGCTCTAAATCCCATGCATTGTGGATCAGCCCACAGCCGTCTCATTTTTATTTGCCAAGTTTACCTCGGCTTTTCATTGCCGGTCATCATGCAGTTTACTGGGTTGGGTCCATCACCTACCAAGAAGCCGAGCACGGTGACATGGTCAGTCAGCTAGTACCCCATGAATTAAATATGCCTTGGATCCTGGGTCAACCCATCTCTTCATGGAATGGGCTCATGTGTCATGGGTCTGCTGAAGAGCTTTGAATCCCATGCAGCGTGGATCAGCCCAACCTGGTCCCATCCAGTTGACACTATACAGCCAAGTTTCGTCTTCACTCAGGCTTTATTTGCCAAGTTGCTCAAACATTACCTTGGCTTTTCTTTGCCGGTCATGGTCCAGTATTCGGTCATGCAGTTTACTGGGTCCATGACTTCCCAAGAAGCCGAGCATGGTGACGTTCACAAGGCAGTGAGATATATTATGCACACCCCCGGTTCAAAATCCCTACCAAGTTTATACCGACCAATGTTTCTTGTAAACATACCCATGTTGGAACGGGTCTGGCTCAAACAACCGCACTCGGCTGGCTGAAATAAACGCCAAGCTGTTACTATGCTGGTCTCCATTGGACAAAGTTGCTCCAAGATCCCCCCGCTTTTCTCTGCCGGTCACAGTTTACTGGGTCATGAAAGAAGCCGAGGCCTTACTGCTTTCATTATTATGTCCACCACAGGACTTCATATTAAATATGCCCAAAAAAAATTGAAGATTGTCCAAAAAATATACATGTATGCTACTAACTATTAAGTAGAGGGAGTTTGGACAGTTTGGACATCATTGTTTGTAACTTGCTGGCAGTCAGATTTTTGAATCCTCACCAAGTAGAAGACTTACTCTGTGCGGGGGTTTGAAGTGTGGGTTCGAGTTTCTGTAGCCGAGGTGACTTCCTATTACCCCCAATGTAAGGACCAGGCGAACTTGCCCGGGTTGGAGGAATTGGGTTTGGCGCCAACAGAAGGACCGCTGGGCTCTCAGATGCTGGAGGCAGAAAGACGGCCGGGGTTGGAGAGACTTGCGTGTGATCGGTTGAAACTGGGTTTGGCAGAACGACACCCGGGGTCGGGGAGACTTGTACCTGCTGGCTTTTCTGACCGCGGTCGGGTGAGACTGAGCGATCGGTATTGATGCCAGTGTGCTTCTTCTCCTTGCTGCCAAGGAACTGGATAATGAGCGATTCCAGACTTGATTGGCGAGCACTGAGCCGCAGGTTGAGCTCCAAAATAGTAGTGACTGATTTGGTGAGGTCGTGGAGCGTTAGCTCGGCAGTTTCGATGTGGCTTGCAAGTTTCTCAAAGCCCCAGGTGAGACTCTCTTGTAACACAGCTGGCGTAGTCTCCCACTTGTTCTCCAGTGTCTTGACGGCTTCCCTCACCTCGGCTTCCAGTCTCTGGTGATCACTTCGGATGGACTGCAAATCTTCTTGTGTTTCCTTCCAACGCATGTGGGCAGACTCTTCAATACGGTCCATCCGGCGAGTCGCTCCGGTGATTTTTTCTTCCTGAAACCAAACGGAGGTCTCTAGACTTGCAATTTTCTCCGACAGAGGACGGCTAGCCAAATCTTGATCTTGAATACACCGGGTAATCTCTTCGAGCGCCAAAAGACGTTGTGACAGGGTCACGGGTGAGTCAACCGCCGGGGGGAGAAGGGCACTTGTGTCAATATCTTGTTTTCGGACCACAAATGCCGAATACTCTCGCATAGTAGGGGTAGACGACTCCATGACGCTGACTTGCGCTTGTTGGTCTCGGAGTTTCTGCAGGAGGTCGGCTTGGCCATGAGCAAGTCTTCTGATCTCCTGCTGCATCGTCTGCATGTCGAAGTTCGGTGGGGGGCTCAAGGACCTAAAGTCAATCTTCTTCTGATAGAGCGCTGTGTCAACTAAGTTTTCAAGTTGAGAATCATGGGAAATGAGAAAACAACTTGAAACTTACGATGAACCTCCTTGGGATCTGGTGGGCTGACCTGCCGAGAACGGGATACCAAACGCGAACCTTCTGGCCAGGACGTGCACTCAACAGGTGGGGGTGTAAAGCTTTGTTGGATATAATTGACAGCCAAGCCCAATTCTATAAACGAAGTCAGCAAAGAATAACGAGTTTCATGAATTTTTTACCCGGCCGCATTGCTAACTCGGGCACGATCCACTCCATCTCACTGGCTGGCAGCCCAATCTCCCAGCCCTTTCCTTTGTCAGTGTTGGTACCGACCTCGGTCTCAGTGCTCTTGAAAATTGCCGATGTGTGTGGTGTGGGTGGCTCAATGATTATGGTGGGAGTCACCCGGCCCACGTCTTTGTCGGCTTTTGGAATGGCACCGACCTCGGTTTCCTCATGTTTGACTTCAGCCATCTCTATGTCGATACCACCCTCGGACTTCCCCTTTCCCATTGTCAGACCAACCTCCATGTCCACGTCAATTGCATGCTCCACATCATGCCCAACTGCGGCCATTTCCGGTTCAGGATGACTGAAAGACCGGTGAAGGGAGTGGCCCAAACGCGAAGAGCAATATTGATAGGATCGTCCAATGCCTCGGCATGATTGGCAAGCTTCTCAAAGGTGGCTAAACCGGACTCAAAAAGATCGGGTTGTATGACGGCATAGATTGTGCCAACAATTGCATTGGCCAATAGGACATTCTGGAGGTAGGTTGAATTGGCAGGTTCCTGAATATCGGCTGACGCACGCAGTGGATCCTCGGGACCTTCATGTCCTTGAGAAAACCAGCTGGGTGATAAATTTACAATCCCAGTGACCCCTTCATTCTCGGGGTGGTGATCCCGCCAAGTCCCATTACTTCTCTTTTTGGGGCTCAAAGAACCTGTGTGATCCCAAATAAATGTCTATTAAAGTGAGGAAAGTCTAAGGGTGTAATGAAGTGAAAGTAATTACCCGAAGCTGTTCTGAGAACATTTCAGGAAAGTACCAAAGTAAAATGTGACCCTGCCGGTCGGTTATATGGCACGGTTGATCGAGGTAGGGGATATCGGACCCGGCTGTTTCGTAGATCGGTGGGAATCGTGCCAAGAGTTTCTTCTCCAACTCCTCATTGCTTCCACTCTGTCTCGGTGACAAGTCCGCAGCATAGTCCCGGACGTCCCAAGTAGTCGTATCTGTCCAAAACTTAGTGAAGATCGGCCGGCTAGAAGTGAGACATACATGAAGATTTGAATGCTTCTTCAAGCATGTTAATTACCCTTTCAACAGATGCTTGGGCCTCCGGCTCCAACCATGGTGGTGGAGCAGGACGAGGAACGCTTGGGCTATGTAAAGACCGCAACCGGCCTCT